AGTACCTATAATTTATACTTAATCTGGGTATTAAAAGCAATTCATAAAAGTAGAAAGCAAAAAAACAATAATAATTTTGATCTATGCTTTATATCCTAAAGAAACAAATGATCATTAAAGATCTATCATTCAAAAACTATCAATCGATTGAAGATATCCCTTATAACATCCTACAGAGAGTTGCTGCTAAGCATATGATACAACTAAGTATACAGAATCTTGGCAACTGGGCGAAAATAATGGTTTTCAATCACTACAAAGGATGTTGTTTTAGTGGTTTACACCAAGAGGAGGAGCCTTGGTGGTGCAACGGTTAAGCGCTCAGCTCCTTACCGAAAGGTTGGTGGTTTTAACCCACCTAGCCACGTCACAGGAGAAAGATCTGGTGATCTGCTCCTATAAAGATTATAGCCTAACTTCGCCAAAGAAGACATTCAGGTGGCTAACAGAAACAGGAGGAAATGATCACAATCATTAGCCATTAGAGAAACGTAGATCAAAACTACAGGGGGATACCATCTCACCCCAACAAGGCTAGCATTAACCCAAAACACACGAAATAATCAATGTTGGAGAGGTTGTGGAGAGACTGGAACACTTATACACTGTTGGTGGGAATGTAAAATGGTACAATCACTTTGGAAATCAATTTGGCGCTTCCTTAAAAGGCTAGAAATAGAAGTACCATACGATCCAGCAATCCTGCTCCCTGGAATATATCCTAGCGAAATAAGAGTAGTCACACGAATAGATAAATGTACACTCATGTTCACTGCAGCACTGTTTACGATAGCAAAAACATGGAAACAATCTAGGTGCCCATCAACGGACGAATGGATAAACAAATTATGGTATATTCACACAATGGAATACTACGCAACGATAAAGAACAATGATGAATCTGTGAAACATCTTATAACGTGGAGGAATCTGGAAGGCATTATGCTGAGTGAATTTAGTCAGTCGCAAAAGGACAAACATTGTGTAAGACCACTATTATAAGAACTCAAGAAAAGGTTTAAACACAAAAGAAAACATTCTTTGATGGTTATGAGGATGGGGAGGGAGGGGAGTATTCACTAACTAGAAAGTAGACAAGAATTATCTTAGGTGAAGTGAAGGACAGCACACAGTACAGGGGAAGTCAGCACAAGTGGACTAAACGAAATCTAAGAAGTTTCCTGAACACAATCAAACACTTCGAGGGACAGAGTAGCAGGGGCAGGGATCTGGGGACCATGGTTTCAGGGGAAATCTAGGTCAATTGACATAACAAAGTTTTTTAAGAAAATTTGCTGCATCCCACTTTGGTTAGTGGCATCTGGAGTCTTAAAACCAGAAGAACTGGATGGTGTCCGACTACCACAATGACTGCCTGACAGGGAAAGCAAGAGTCCCTGATGGAGCAGGAGAAAAGTAGGGTACAGAACACAAATTCTAGTAAAAAGACCAGACTTAATGGTTAGACTGCGACGGGAGGGAACCCCAAAGACATGGCCCCCAGACTTTCCGCCAGCCCAAAACTAAAACCATTCCCAAAGCCAACTCTTCAGACAAAGATTAGACTGGACTATGAGACATAAAATGATACTCATGAAGAGTGTGCTTCTTAGCTCAAGCAGACACATGAGACTAAATGGGCAGCTCCTGTCCAGAGGTGAGGTGAGAAGGCAGAGAGGGTCAGGAGCTGGTTGAATGGACATGGGAAATCTGGGGTAGAAAGGAAGAGTGTGCTGTCACAGTATAGGGAGAGCAACTAGGGTCACAAAACAATGTATGTATTAATTTTCTTATGGGATTAACTTGAATTGTAAACTTTCACTTAAAGCACACACACACACACACACAAAAAAAAGATTATAGCCTAGAAAACCGTGGGGGGCAGTCCTACTCTGTCACATGGGGTCGGTATGAGTCAAAATCAACTCAATGGCACCTAACAACACACCAAGAAAGAAAACACAAGGAAAAAAACCGAGCGCCATCTGGGAATCTAATCATAGTACCCTACTTACGATTCTTCAGTTTAAGTAAACCTAAAGAACAGGCAATATTTAACAAATCTCCATTTAGAAAGAAGTAGTTATTGGGAGAAGGCAACCAAAATTCACAATTTGGAGAAGGCTGCAGACGTATCCCCAAAAAAAGAAAATAAACCACTGAGAACATCAAAATACAGTCTCTTTACCAGCGAGTCAAACATCCACTGGACCTTGCTGTGCAAACCACAGGCTGCAGCACTGTTACCCTCTAAGCAAAGGGGGTCTCACACCACATGGTTACGCTTCGGGTGTCACAAAAGAACTCTCAAACCATTTTTGCCCTTCAAAGATCCTTTATAATATATTTAACTTGCAGAGACAGCATATTAATTTTTATGGTTGACAAAGGTTCTCAGATTTACAGAAATGATGCCTGCCTCCATACATACATAGCTCTTCAAAACTACTTTATTAAAAACTTACTGTTTTATAGGCTCCCTGGGTGATGTAAATTGTTAAGCACTCAATTACTAACTGAAAGGTTGGAAGTTCAAACCCACCTGGAGGCAACTTGGAAAAAAAAGTCCTGGTGTTCTGCTTCTGAAAGGTCACAGCTTTGGAAACCCTATGGAGCTGTTCTACTCTGCACACGTAGAGCTGGCCATGAGCTGGAATCAACTCGAAAGCAACTGGTATGGTTTTTTTTGTTTTTCACTATTTTATAAATAAGCCCTTAGCAACCTCCCTCCACATATTCTTCTGAACATCAAACAGAATGTCCTATCATGCTGCATGGATATACAAGATGAAGGCACAGTATTTCCCAAACTGGTTTTCTCAAAACTGGTTTTTATCAAAAGATAGCAGAAACAGGGTGCCATAGTCTCAGAAACGGGAAAAACAACAAGTTTTTTTAATGTTAAAGAGATTTCCTTAACAGCAGGACTGTTCATAGTCATTAATTATGAATCTCATGATGGGGACTGGTCACGGACTGAATTATGTCCCCCCAAAAAAGTGTGTATCAATTTGGCTGGGCCATGATTCCTGGTATTGCGTGATTTTCCTATATGCTATAAATTCTGCCTCTGAATGTTAATGAGGGAGGATGGGTGGCAGTTCTGTTAGTAAGGCAGGACTCACAGTCTACAAGACTGGATTCTGTCCTGAGGCAATCTTCTTGAGATACAAAAGAGAGAAGTGAGCAGAGAGACACGGGGACCTCATACCATCAAGAAAGCTGTGCCAGGGGCAGAGTGCGTCCCTTGGACCTGGGGTCCCTGCGCAGAGAAGCTCTTAGTCTGGGAGAACACTGATGAGAAGAAGGCTGACAGAGAGAGAAAGCCTTCCCCTGGAGCTGATGCCCTAAATTTGGACTTTTAGCCTACTTTACTCTGAGGAAATAAATTTTTCTTTGTTAAAGCCATCCACTTGTGGTATTTCTGTTATAGCAGCACTAGATAACTAAGACAGCAATAGTATGTGCAGTATTTCCCACACATATCTGACTACAAAATTTCTAGGGTAGTATCCCTAATGACATTTACAAGGCAGAACGTTCCATATTAGACACTCTGAAAAAGGGTGATGTTTAGTAGTACACAAGGCAGCTGACCATGATCCACCATGATCCAATCACATAACCATTGATACAGTTATAAAACTGGTAGCTATCAAGAGAAAGGGGTAACAAGTAAGTATATACCTAAAGGAGTTAACACATTCTGTTCCTGATCTACAACTAAACAGGCCCATTAAAAGCAATTTGTGGTAACTCTATAATGAGAGATTCTTTAGTGGTTAAGAAATTCATTGTTAGTGTCCAATATCTAAGTCTCAATCAAAGATAAATACTGATAGTACTGTAACCTACACATCACTAAATCTCTACAGCAGTGCTGTAACTTCTCCAGAACTTCAACCGTGATTATTTTACATCACATAAATACTATCAAATAAGAAACTGTAGCTGTGAATACAAGTTTTATTTGTAAGTTCTAATACTGATTATCTTTCGCAGTTCAAAACCCATCCGTATGTGGGGGGCAAAAATCTGTAACTTTATGTGAAGTTCGGAAGAGTTAGAGTACTCTTCAGTGAAATGGCTGTGCCAGGTTAATGATACAACATAGTGAAGTCTCTTTAATCTCCCTTTCCTGGAAAAACATCAAACTAGGTGACTTTTAATCTGCTAATTATATCTCATATGAAATTCATGTCACTCCTCAGCAGAATAAGGTAATTCAAACAAAATGATCTTAGCTAGCTTTACTGGCTTTTTTATGAACAGTATCTTAATACACGTAATACATTAAATTAAAAAGGAGGCTTTGCTGTGTCCGGTCAGTTATCAATCACTTGTTTCCTTGCATCTCATCTGAAAACTGGGTCTGTCTGTCTTTGAGCAATGCTATAAACCTTAATGCAGTTGAATGGCCATAGTATACTTTCTGAAAAACCAAGCAGGTTAGTTGGTTTCATCTGTTACTGTTGATTAGAGAGCCCAAAGCGCAATACTTTGGAAAAGAAGGTTAGCAGGAGCAATAAACCCTGATCTGACGGCCATTAAAAATCTCTCTCTAGTTTCTGGTCAATCTTGTAGCCAATATCAAATTTCCTGTTTCCAAGAACTGCTGGGTGTACTTGTCCCCACCATGTACTCCATTCTGCAGAGTCACCACACTAATTTGAGGTTGAAGATAAAAAGAAAGGATAAAGTCAAAAGAGAAACACTGAGCTGATGGTTAAGACAGCAAGCAGCATGGGAAAAGGAGGAAAGAAGTGTAAATGCAAAAATATGGACAGAAGACAAAGTTAAGGTAGACACAAGCAAGAAGTGGGTAAACCCAACTGACTAAATGTGAGTCAAGTGTTTACTCTCTCATGTTTTCCTACCCCAAATTACCATCTACTCTTCTAGGTTCCAAGATTCCCTCCTTAACATGTAAAAGAGGCATGTATTTCATCTAAAGCTGATATCATTTCTCTCCCACAAACAGCAAATGCAATGCTCCTTACCTCCTGGTTTGTAGACAACATCATCCTCAGTGATGTAGGATGTTATCTCGCCAGTATCTGTCCTTTCATAACGAGATTTTTTTTTCGGTGGTTTCTTTTTGTTTTTCTTCGTGGACTCCTCGGTGGTGGCACTATTGTTGTCATTGTCCTCATCTTCGCTGTGATCACTCTCAGCATAATTTTTGGCTCCTCCTTCCAAGGTACAGCTCCGGCGTGGCCTTGAATTCTCACCCTCTCTTGCTTTGTCTCTTTTATCTCTCTCTCGGTCCCGATCTCGGTCCCGGTCCTTCTCTTTGTCTTTGTCTTTGTCTTTGTCAGCTGTCATGATTCGCCACGTGCCTTCTTCTGTCCTCTCACGGCTAGGCCTCCGTGAAAGGTAGACAGTAAGCCTGGGCTTCAGTCTTCTGAATTTCTCACTCAATTCCAGGAAAAATCCAACCACTCCAATAACCCCAACGTTTCAAAAATGCTATTTAGGAGAGAATAAAAGAGAGAAAATATGATTTTTACCTTAACATTTTCTCATAATTCCTCCAAAAAATAATTTTTTTTAAAAAATGAATCTCTTAATTACTCATGTTTTAGTTCTAAAAATTTCCTCACAGACCACAGGAAAAAAGTTAGGACAAGTGTCACAAAATTTAAATATACAGCTTTTGGCCTCAGCTAGCAAATGTTCTGGAGTATTCTACCATCATCAGGAACGAAATATGTCTGAATGCTTAAGAATAAACTATACTCTCTGTACACCAATTGTTTCCTCCTTTTTAAAGACAAAGTATACCCTAATGGATAACATATAATGGGTACACTTAACACAAAGGAACTTCTTCATAACCCACAATATTGACTTAAATGGCAAAGAACCTGTAGTAAAAATTATTTCTAACTGCAAAATAAAATAACATGGATAGCTTTGGAAAATGTCTTGGGAAGTATCACCACGCACTATCTTCTGAAGACTCTTTCTAGCCACTTCTCCCAACTCCCAGAGCTCCTCTCAAGAATTAATGATTTGACTCAACTGGAAGTAACAGCCTCACAGCAAGATTCTTTTGCCTTCAATTACATTTTATGCATCTTCTAATCTACCATTCTAGTTATTTCCCAGAAAAAATGGTTTCTCCAAAGATATATTAACTCTGTCTCAGCAAAACATAACAGTTTCCTAAAACAACCTTCTATCTTTGGGGTAGTTTTTACATTCTTCTAAATTTCCACTACTAACAGCTTCTTCCCCGGAACTAAACCCAACAAGACAAGTCTGAAGTTTTAAGAGTTTACAATGAAAAAGTTAACCCCAAATTACAAACCAACATAGTTCTTATAACAAGTTATGGCGGGGGGGACTATTTTTGTTTACAAGTCAGTTTTGGCATAATCATAATAACTAATCATTTCTCTTTTGCAGTCTTCTATTATCTTCCCCAATTATCTAATCCCATCTGTCCAAGAGTCTTTACTAAACACTTTCTTTGTGTCACGTGTCAGGAACTGAAGACAGGATGAGGATAAGCTCATGGTCCTTGCCCTCAGTGCTCTGATGCAAAAATAGGAGGCAACTAATCAATTTGAGAACCATCTGTTTCTCATGTTACTCGGGCCAGCTAGAACACAACATAAGGAAACGGACAACCGATTGATCCTCTTTACTTAGACAACAAGAAACAAATCGGTCTGCAATTATATACCTCAGAAGCAAAGATAATTCTCTTTGGTCATGCCAAAACCATAAAAATCATCATATACTCCCTCCAGTTCTCTTAGGTCAAACTTGACACCAGAAAAAAAATCTCCCCATAAGCACTAATATCCTTAAACATTCAGGAAAATAAAAAATGTTAACAACCTTTGGAAGATAGACCAATGAAGGAGCAACAGTGCTGACAATCTAGAAGCAAAGCTAGAAGGTTAAAAGCATGTAGCACAAATCTAGATTATACCCTTCTTCAAAGGAAATATGCTTTCAGATAGGATTTCAATTTTCTAAATATATTTCAAGAAGAGGAAAAATTATCCTAGTGCCTATAAAAGTTTTGCCTAGATGAATCATCTGCTAAACAGACAGTAAGTAGTAATAAACTCCCAAGTCCCTGTAGGTCACTAGTGTCAGCAATTGAAAATACACAAAGACATACTACTTTCTCCACTGGACTTAAGTTTAGAGCCTAAACAAGCCAATCACACAAGCAAAAAAAAAATCAGCTAACACAGTTGTTAAAACATGCCTCCCTGACACTGAAAACAGTGGAGTGGGTCTAGTGGGAGTCTGAAAAGAACAAGGAGCTTAAAGTGAAAATCTCCTCTCAGTTGCAGTTTAGGACAAAAATACTTCTGATTAGTTTAAGGGAAAAAAAAGACATTCTCCCTCGGGTTAACCAGATAACTGCCCCAGAAAATCAGGTAAAAATACTATTTTAGCATCCCAAAGAGGAAAAACTAATAAATCCAAATTGTACATTCAACAACACTATTCCCTACAAAATCATACAATGTGTTTCTATGTACAAAAAAATACAGAGTTGTTTCTGCCAAGAGTAAGAGAGAAAGTAAGAAAAATCCAAGAAATAAAAGATGCCCATAAAAAGAAATACAGTGGTTAGATATGACCAACTTTCAGATAATTAAGAACACTGGTAATTCAATGCAAAAGTCAATTCAGTTACCATTTACATTTGACTCTAAAATACAGCTCACTGGGGATATATATTTTTTTCCTCTGTGTATTAATCATAATTTTTCTGAGCCTCATTAGACAGCAACCAACATATACCAATAATCTGGCGTTTGAGGAAAGGTACCCTGAGACAAACCAGATGGCATGGAGAAAGGGAATTGTCACTTTAACTTTCTAGAGATGATCTACAAAGTGGACAATGCAACCACGGCATCTTTACAACCACACAGGGTTTACAAAGCAGGTCCCTACCATTATCTCATTTGACTCCTTCTCTCGACAACTAACTCTGAGAAGTGAGACAGACAGGTACTGTCATCCCCACTTTACAGCCTACAAAACTGAAGGTGAGGAGAGATCACCTGCATAAAGGTACACAGCCAATGAGTACGAGGCTGGTATTCTAAAGCAGTCCTTAAAAAACTAAATTCTATCTGACTTGATCATATTCCTTTTGTTACCTGGGCCACCAGGGCCACCAGCTCTGCATAACCACCAATTTTTCCTACACAGTGTTCATCCATGAGGATAATTCACACAGACAGGTTTCGAAAACACACTCACTCAGTCCCCCCACCAAAAAAAGACATGTTTCTCCAATTAGAAAGCCAAAAATATTGAAAATGCACGTCAATCAATGTTCAACTCAGTGAACTGGGAAGCATGGTAAAAGATACTTTAACAAATAACAAAAAGAAAAAAAAAACTTAATTTGAACATAATAGCTAGAAGACATTTCAGATTCACAACAAGCTTCATCTATTTGTTGAACAAAAGTTTCCTGAATGCCTACCATAGGCTAGTCACTGTTCTAGGTGCTAGGAGAACAGCAGAGAACCACAGTCAAAATCTCTGCCCTCATGGAGCTTATGTTCTAGGGAGAAAGACCACAAATAAAAAGATAGTATGTGTAGTATGTGAACAGATTTTAAATAGGGTATCCATGGGAGCAGGGGTGTGAGAGGATTGTGACTTTAAACAGAATGGTCAGGAAGTCTCACTGAGGTGGCATTCATCCTGAGTCAGAGTGTTAGAGAAGAAACCTGAAGACTGATGAAGGAAGACCAGTCCAGCAGAGAGAACAGCAAGTGCAACGTCCAGAGTCATGAGCAGGCGAACCCACTCAAGACACAGTAGACCAGAGGGTTGGAGCAGCATGAGGAAGAGTGAGGGTGGTCAGAGATGAGTTCAGACAGGTAGAAGGACAGGGGAGGAGGGGTTGGGTTCTGTTTGGCCTTGTAAGCCAGGATAAGGACTTTGGCTGTTACTCAAGTGACATGGGGGAGACTCACTGACACTTCAGCCACAGCAGGGATCTGAGTAGCAGAGAAAGACATGACCTGAAGGGGTGCAGGGGCTGCAGCAGGAAGACTGGTGAGGAGGCTTATGCAATAACCAAGGCAAGGGTTCAAGGTAGCTGGGACAGACCAGGATGGTAGCTGCAGAGAAGGTAAGAAGTCTTATTTTCTATGTAATTTTAAGATAACAGTCAAACAGAATATGTTGATAAATTGGGAGGTAAGGTATGAGAGAAAGAAGTCAAGAATGACTCCACAGTTTCTGGCCTGAGCAACTGCATGGATGAAGTTATCATTACCTGAGTTTTAGGAGAAAGATCAGGAGCTCAGGTATGAACATGACAAGTTTAAGAAGCCTATGAAAATCACACAGAGATTCTGAAGAGGCAGATTAGGGGAAAGGTCCAAGCTGCAGATACAAATTTAGTTTTTAATTCAATTGTTTAAGCCATGAGACTGAATAAGATCACCAAAGAACTGAGTCAGAATAAATTTTTTAATAAAATTTTTAAAAACCCACAAAAAATTTACTACTCATGCTTGGTGGAGACAACAGGACTTATAACAAAACCTATATTCCTCTCATTAGTTTCCTGATTGATTGTACTTCAACATTTTACCTGAACTGATAAAATTAATTGGAGTCATCAGCAGAAAAAACAGCAAAAAATTCAGTCATTTAGTTTTGTTTTCGTCTAATCAGGGCCAAACACCTTCAATCAAGTCAATGATACAGAACTACTCTTCATTACTTAAGGTTACTTCAATCTCTACAAACATCATTTTACCTTTTCAAAATGAAGCCAACAACCATACACTAACACCTCACACTACTTATCAGAACCAATTCGGATAATGGGCTAAAATTTCAGTCATGCTTTGTGTCCAAACCTCATTTAAGAAAACCACTTCCTGTCCCAAAACAGAACCACAAGGATACTGGACTGACAAGCCAAAATCCAGGTTCTTGACACTGCCATGTACTTTACTGCCTTGGGCAAATCACTCTACCTCTCTGAGTCAGAGTTTTACCTCTGTAAAATGGGACAATACTTAAAAACCAGCTGTGAGAATTAAGTATAAAACCCAAAACCAAATCCATTGCCCTCGAGTCAATTCTGACTGGTAGCAACCCTACAGGACACAGTAGAACTGCCCCATAGGGTTTTCAAGGTTGTACATCTTTTAAGGAAGCAGAATGCCACATGTTTCCCTCGTGGAGCCGCTGGTGGGCTTGAACTGCCAGCCTTTAGGTTAGCGACCAAGCGCCTAACCCCTGTACCACCAGGGTGACTATGTGAGGTATAAAGGTAGCAAAAACATGGTCCCTACCCCTCAAGACCACCACCCATCTGGCAGTTTGTCTTATTATGGTAGCTTGTGTGTTGCTATGATGCTAAGCTACTGGTATTTCAAATACCAGCAGGGTCACCCGTAGTGGACAGGTTTCAGCAGAGCTTCCAGACTAAGACAGGCAAGGAAGAAAATCCTGGT